ACTTCTATTAAATTTCGTGAAAACCCAGTTGACAACAGTTGTAGCATCTCCATTATTATCTAACCAAAATTTAACTATATCCGTATTTTTTTATTTTTACGCAATCTTAAAAAGAAAAATAATAAATAATTTAGAGCAGTTGGGCTGCAGTTGGCTGCAGTTGAAATTACAACCACATGAAAGTACACATCATTACCTTTCTCCATATATATATTGTTCAACAAAAACGTCCCAATAAACAAAGTACTACTCCAAGAAACACGCGGTCAATAATCAAAACTACACAGAAAATACGACACACTTTAATGCAAAAAAAATTTACAACAACAAAATTTTTATGAAACTTGTTAATAACATTTTCTTTACATACCTGAATTAATATTTTCCATTTTATAAAAATTATATACAATTATAATTTTTTGTTAAACAATGGATTAACCAAACAACAAACCAAAAAAAACTACCACTTTGACAGCTTGGCTTTAAGACATGGGTTGCCGCCTGACTCTCATTTTTGTGTTTTTGGGTATTTAAAAATGTTTATTACAAAATGCTATTATCACTTTTTTGAAATAGTACACTTTAAAAATTGATTTCTTGCCTCAAAAGCCATTCATTTGACCTATAGTGCAATGTCACGGTTAATTTCTTCCTTTTTCATTCCTCTTTTCATTCAGCTCATGAGTTGTGATGAAGATTTCAGAATTTACCTGATACTATTTGAAGAATTTCGTCCCAGTCGGTTGCATCGGCCGTGCCAGCGATCCATTTCCAGGCAGACATAATCCAATTGGTCGAACTTTAGTTACTTCAGGGCCTTTAAGGTCGTGAAGATGTGACCTTATCTTCTCTATCTGGTTGTTGAGAACGTCAATAGTTGTATCGGTCCTGCTGAAGTTGAGGATGGTGATGGCCTCCTCTAGTGTGTTCGCGCTTTTGTCGAAGCTCGACGTCTGCTCGCTGACGTTCTGCTAAGACGATGTTTGTTTTGCTGCACGCACTTGCATCGATGTACCAAGTGAGTTTGCTCTCACTGCTTGTTTTTGCTAACGCAGCACTACTCGCTGTTATTTTTGAATTTGTATTTTGCTGTCAACCGCAGAAGTTTCGACGACAGTTCTGTTAAGCTAAGTGAGCCGTTCGTTACTTCACCCAGAAGATGCTGCTGCGCTCTGCTGACGTTGACTGCGCACTCTGTTACTTTACCCAGAAGTTTCTATGGTCATGCAAGTAAATCAAACACGGTATATTGGCTTAATAACAACTAACTTTAGCGGTGCCTACACCTGAACTCCTAACTCCGTAACTGCCAACACCTCACATGGACTGCCGTGTGACTTCTTTGCTGAATCTGCGATTCTAACGATTTTGGACTGCAGGTGTTCGTTGTTGCTGGCAAGCGCTTCCGTTGTTATGGATGCGTCACCTGAGCTGCAGCTGCGCTCGCTTTTTATTTTTACTGATGTTGTTGTTTGCGCTGCGCTTACAAATTGTGCTCGGTTGTTGTGTTGACTACTGCATTATGTTATTTTGCTTTAGTTATTGTTGCTGCCTACTGCGGTATGTTAACTATTCCCCCGCTAGAAGAGGAGACGTCCACGTTCCTTACGCATGTTGCTCAATCTTGCAATGTTAGCGTTGCGTTTCCGGCTAAATATCAACGAGTCACGTACACATGCTCACCTTTTACATACTTTCAACAACGAGTCACCCAAGTTTACGTCCCCTTGAACATAAGTATATACATATACACACATACATTTATCAGATTTAAACATACAAATTTACATAAAAAGTAAAGAAAATACATATAAACCAGAACAAGACAACATTCAACAAAACAATATTTCATCAGACAAGATACACAAATACATACATATTTAAACAATAAAACTCACACACGACAATGGATTGTACTCGTCTTTTCGTTTTTATTCAACTGACTCGAAGGCAACATGGCCGCAATATCGCCGCAGATCGTGTTGCCACATAAACTTAATTTTAAATATGACAATACAGAGATGCCATTTAGTTAACATATCATAAATATTACATAAGAAATTTATGAAGCTGCCACAGTTCGACCATCCTGACTCGTAATCGCCCCGATTACGCTTTCGTTAGAGAGACTTTGGTTCAAACAAGGTTTCATGTTCGCTACTTGGGAAGAACTTTGTAACTCTATAAGGACCTTTGAACTTAGGGGCAATCTTTTTACACACGCCTGGAGTACTTATATAATTTTTAACCATAACATAATCGCCTTCCTTATACGTTCTTTGCGTCCGGTTTTTATCTTTTGATAATTTATTATAATTTTGAGACTATAATACATTTTCTGCTGCCTTTTC